TTTTAATTTTCGATCGTCGGATTAAATGAATTGAAGAAGATCAACATACGGAAACTAATAAATGATGTTTGAGAAATAAAAAGAAGTGTGTGGATAGTACATCTCTATAATGAACCATCCCCATGCGAGGCCAGGGCAAATTCAACCTCTCTCTCATTCAAATTTCAACCCCACATTTTTGTTAATTTTTAATTTGTTTTAGATAGTGTGTATTTTTATATATATAAAACCAAAAAAGTATAATATATATATATATATATGCGTGTGTACATGCACACACACATGAAATTGTGATGTAAAATGTTCACGGGTCTTTGATAGTATACATGTTTGAAAACCGAACATACATCTTCCACCAGGTCATCACTATATTTTGAAGCAAATTGCCAGCAGCTTTGCTTCTCGTCCCACTCAATTTTCTTTTACTGTCAAATTACTTGTGTTGTCATTGTCATGGCTTTTGCCCTAACCAAACACCTTTCTTTCTCTTAGGCCATTTCCAACCAATCCGACCAGAGGATTAAAAATAATCTAAAATGACACGAAAATCGTCTCTAACTGAGGACTTGGCCAAATGGCTCGTGGTCCCCATCGGGCCAACACCAAATCAGGCCAACCGACTGGCCCAAATAAGCCAGCCAACCAGCCCTGGGCCGGCCCAAATTCAAATGCCAACGGCTAGCTGACGCTAGCAGCCGTTGGATTTGAATTTTTTTTTTGTTGGTAAAAGTAAAAAAAAAAGTAATAACAAATTCCAAATATTGTAGTCTTTAATATTTAAGTTGTAGTTTTTAAATTTAAGTTGATGTAATATTTAAATTGTAATAATAAATTATGTTTGGCTTATGACTCTTTGGCCCCCTCGGTTAGAGATTGTATGAAATATGGTCTGATACTGTTCATTAAAATATATTTTCTTGAATGACTATAGGGCTAAAGAGAGCTCTTTATCCCTAATTCGGTTGGAGATGATCTTAATTAATATAAATTTTCTTACACCCTAATAAAATTTAAAGTTTTTATTTCAAACACGACGTGTTGCACAATTCAAAACTTGCATAATTATAAGACTCAATTTGTATACGATTGACATATAAATGGATAAACCCAGACATAATCTATTGCTCGCATTATGTGAGAAAGTCGGACACAATACGCCATGACTAACTCCACAATACTCGCCATGACTAACTACACCATAGTCCTCGCGATGGATCCAACCATGTGAGAATGACATTTTCTAACACAACTTGTAAGGCATCATTTGGATTAGGGTACAATTTTGACCTTGGCTTTGAACTGAAAGCTTAAAACAAAGATCGGTTTATGATTGTATGTTTGGTGTAACAGAAAAATACATAGTGAGAGACTTAGGAAGCTTCCTGAAGTAGAGTTTAGACAAACAATGGTATATTAATCAAACTAATTAAAATGAATTAAACATGAAATAATCGACGCAAATCCACTAATTGCGGACGTAAAGGATGTGACATTTGATTTGACCAAGTGTTGCTGCTCATTTTTTCGGAATTGACTAGCCGCCTGCAATTTGTGCTACCTGCCGTTGCACGCCATACGAATATCGGACCAGTTCTCCCTGGCGGATTAGGATTCTCACTCTTTCTCTTTTCATTCACTTTTATTCCATCATCTCACATTTTTTTATTTTATCTTTCTTTTGTTATAAAAAATTAATATAAAATATTGACGTAGTTTAATTGTGACATTTCAATTAGAAGGGGAGGGAATGGAAGGAAAAAAAAAAGAGGGGAGAGAATCATACTCCCTTCCAACCATGGTCCATGCATGGATACATATGGAGGCATATTGTCTGCCCTCTTGTTATGGTGCCATTTCCATCTCATCTTATTTGTGCGGTCAAGGTTAAGCCACGTCAACATTTTATATTGAATTTTTTATAGAATAATAAGACAAAAAGTAATAGAAATATAAAATGTTGACGTGACTTAACCGTGACCGTATAAATATGAGAGGATAGGAAGGCACCATAACAGGATGACAGACAATCTGCCTTCGATATATATATGGACAACTATCTAGGGTTTTGCATGCCACTTGGCTTCTCATATTTAAACCGTTAAAGTTATTCCATGACTTGAAAATTTACAACTGAGAAAGTTAATTAGTTGATCAAAGCATATAGGTTTTAGGAACTTAATCTTGCATTGTTATCGTTGTAGAAGATAAAACTGTTCAAGAAATGACGTTGTACATTAGGTGAATCTTTCAAAATGCATTGATAATCTACTTAAATGCAACTCAAACATGCTGAGAAACTTTTAGTTTCAGTAAAACAATTCATTGTATTTACTGAAAAGACTTCTAACTTTTAATTTTTTTAATTTTTATATAAGCGCTAACTTAAACATGGATTCAAATACGGATGCATGGGAGGGAGGAGGCATATTTATATCTACTATATATAATCAATGTGGTTATCTTTACGTCTGCAAGTTCAACTCTTTATTCTTAAAGTACTTTTTTTTTTGGTAAACTATTCTTAAAGTACTTTAGCAAGTAAAAAACATATATTCTTAAAGAGAATATAAAATGCAGATTAATAATTTCAATTAGAATTCAACGCTCATTTTAGAAGACGATTATCAAGCATACCATATCTCTCTGTTATGTAGGAAGCATGCGGTTGTCAACTTGGTTGAGTATGGGTTTAGGTGTTGGTGTCCAGCTGGTGTGGGTTTAGAGTAACAGCTACCTCTATATATATATATATATATATGCCACAAAAGGATTAAAATTCCAAATCAGATAAATTAGGAACACCTAATCCTTGACTAATTCACAACGTATTGCCTTCTTTTATGCTATCTGAGTAACGTTATTGATAGAGTTAATTTGTAAAACTCACTTTCATATTGGTATTCTCTATGCCTTGACCCATATATAATTCTCCTTTTTAATATATAAAGGGAAAAGACATTAGACATATTGCATACTTGCCTTGAATCTTGTTTCTATAATTTTTATAAAAGAAATAAGCTATGGACACTCGTTTTGTTTACAAAAGATAAAGAGCTCGTTTGGTCACAAAAGATAATGATTTTTTGAGTTCAAAAAGCATTTTAAAGTTCTTTTTTCAGAATTTACTTGTATTTTTACTAGGAATTGATTTTAAAAACATTTTCACCAAAAACACTTTCAATCATTTTTTAAAACACTTATAAACGAGCCCCTATTGTGTTGTTTGATACGGCAATAGTTGTATGATTAAATCACGTGTTATAATATGAGTGAACGATAAATTTATATTTTAGGTTACTCATGTCTTGCTCAGAAGTATTGGAATAGAAGAACAACGGATTATTGAAAAAAATGAAATAACAAGTGATTGAGTGTTGATATTAGGTTCAAATCCTACTTATCACTTTATACCTAAATAATAAAAAACCCTAACACGATGTAAGATCGATAATAGTATACTTTTCACTTTCCATGACAATTAATTATAAAGCTTAAGTTGTTAATCATATATTTTAAGGAAAACTAACGAAAAGTATAAAATAAAAACTTTAATTTTAATGAAAAATAACAAATAAATGTGTAGTGAATAGTACTATGAAAAGGTAAAATATGTTTTTTCGTTAAGAGTAAACGATACCAAAAATGTTTCGTTAAAACTCCTTATATTTTATTCTTCATGTGCCTTTTCCTCTCGAGGCAGTGTTACAAAATGCGACCCTTGTTTTGCTGACTTAACCTATGCATCAACTACTGCACTGTATATAAATGCATGCACCAGTTCCTCCTTATCCCAAATAAAAATAATTAGGTTAAAAACGATGGAGCGACGCTCAGCAATTGTGGCAGGGGAAGCAGCTGCAAATAGATCAAAGTTCAAACCAAACCAGTTGTTCTGTCTCTCTTGTTCCTTTCTTGTTTGGAATTTTCATGATCTAGAACTATGTCTGGAAACTAGTTAAGTGAATCAATCCCACTTTAGCAGAACTGCCCTAATGTATTATCAACTACTCTCCTTCTCTCTCTCTAAAAAAAAGTATGGTTTGTGAATCTTATGACATTTCCAAGGGAAAAAGTTCATGGTAGATAAACTTAGGTTTTGCTGAATTTCCTATAGTTTTTAGGTGTTTTTGTACCATACAATTAGTATATAGGTATTCTATAAAATAATTTTAACAGTATATCAAAATTGTATATAACTTACGAATTTCAACATTGATGAAAATGCAAAATGGGCACAAATTGCTAAAAATCTGGCATGACATACAAGGTTAGAGAAGAAAAAAAATTCGGAATTGGGTAAGAACATTATCACCCTTCCTAATTTGTATTTGGATACAAAATTTTCAATGCGAATTGGGTGTGCATGTGGTGTGATTAGATAGCAAAATACCTCACTCATCTTTTTGTTTCTTTTTTCCACTTTTCCATATGTGGCATATCATATCATGGTGTTCACTAAAAATAAGTGCACAATATCTAATTGAAAAGTATATGCAGACAACCAAATAATTTTATTTCAAAAATTGACTATTATACACAAAAAACAAAAAATAAAGAGAAATTAAAATTTTAAATTAAATTTGTAAACTAAATAATATATTATTAGTAGAAAATAACAAGTTAATCAATATTTAAATAATTATTTAATTATAAAAATCATATCATTTAATTAAACCATTTAATCTAAAAAATTATTTTATCTCGTATTACTAAAACAATTAATAAAAATAAATTTGGAACACATCAAATACGAATATCGTGCAAGAACAACGAAAAAAAAAACAAAAAAATTACTCACTTAAGGAATAAAAAACAAAAGCGGTCCCATTTCACCAGCAACCGAAACAAAAGAGAACAAAAATCCAAAGAATTTATAATCCCGGCCGAGTAAAAGACGGAGAAACGCGGGGGCCAATCATGTAGGGCCCACTGCATAAGTCCACAAGACCAAGCTTCCCACTCGGTGCCAAAACCCCGGCTACTCAATCTCTCTCTCTCTCTCTCTCCCTCCTCCCAGCGCAGTAACAGCAGAGCGCAGACGATGATCTCTCTCTCCCTCCAACCATGTTACTGAGGAATTCTTATTGCTACGAATTTATGAAGTTTTAAATTTCTAAAAAAGCAGAAAGAAAAAAAGGCAACAAAAATACCTTCTTTTAATTCCCCAAACCAAAAAGCAAACGCCATCTGTCTCTGTTTCTCTCCCTCTCCCTCCTCTCTACTTTCTCCATTAAAGCCACTCAACATTCTCTCTCTCTCTCTCTCTCTCTCTCTCTCTACTTTTTCTAGAGAGAGAAAGTGGAAAAAGATCGAAGCTTTTGATTCGGCGGAGGCCCAGAGGACTATTTCCCAGGTCATTAGATTTGTCTGAATTTTACATCAAACAATGTCGGCTCCGGCGCCGTCGACCAGCTCAACCTCGCCACCACCACCCACAGCTCCGGCGCCTTCTGCGACTCCTAGCGCACCGCCTCCATCGACCCCGAGCGCACTGCCACCAGCGACCCCGAGCGCGCCGCCACCAGCCACTCCGTCGTCACCACCACCACCGTCTTCGACCACACCCACACCACCATCGACAACTCCATCTCCGGCCTCTTCTGCATCTCCGCCGACATCAACCACTCCCTCTCCTCCACCGCCGAAATCAACCACCCCATCTCCTCCACCTCCGAAATCAACCACCCCATCTCCTCCTCCGCCGACTGGTTCGGGTTCTACGCCTTCTACCCCGTCAAAAAGTCCTCCGCCTCCGCCTCAATCGTCTTCGTCGCCGTCGCCACCATCTTCAGGCTTGGACACGGGGGTTATAATCGGGATTGCCATCGGGGCAGTGGCGATCCTAGCGGTGCTGAGTCTTCTCTGCATTTGTTGCAGTAAGAAGAAGAAAAGGAGAAGAAGTGATGAAGAGTATTATATGCCTCCGCCGCCGCCTCCTGGGCCCAAAGGTATCAACTTTCCTTTGGTTTTTTTATTTTTTTTACATTTTCGATCTGGGTTTGTTGTTTCTTTTGAGTTGGGTTTAAATTTAATTTCATTTGGAACGTTTTGATTGCTCTGCTTGTAAAATTTGATGGATATGATTAGACTTTTTGAGTTTTTGAAGTTTCGATTGAGTGAAAATTAAGAACAAAAAACGAAATGGTTATCAAACGGGCCTTCGTGAAATGGTTTTTGACTAAGATTTTTTGGGATTTTGGATCTGGTCATTGGATTAGAAAATGCTCTTCTGCATTTCTCCCTCAAAGGTTGTCATTGATTTGCATTGTTGTTGATGTTTTTCGTCGAATATCTGAATTCGTGACATCTGCATGTCTGATTTTATGAACTAGTATGAAGTACTGGGGAATCTGGTAAAGCATGTTTTTATTGTCGTTACCATATCGTGTTAAGCATCAGTTAGAAACATTTCCAGCCTGTAGTACTCTGACTTGAGTTATGAATTTTAGTCTCAAATTTTATAATATGTTGTGTTCTTTTATGGTTTTTCTTTTGTGGTTTGTCTTGTTGTTTTTGTTTCTAGCGTTCATTAATTTATTCGAGTTTGAAAGAATGTGTTTCTGAGGAAGGTTTTGCCTTTTACTGCCGATGAATCCTCCGTATATTATTATTTTGTGCAAAGACGTATTATTGCTGTGAATTATCCAGGTCGAATTGAATACTGATATCCGAGTGTTTGTTGGTATTTTCCAGTTGACCCATACGGTGGTGGGCCTTCGCATGAGTGGCAACAAAATGCTCCTCCGCCTGGTAATCATGCAGTCACAATGATGCCAAAGCCATCTCCGCCACCACCAGTAGCATCACGGCCACCACACTCACCACAATATAATCCAAGTCCGGGAGCAGCACCACCACCACCTTTCACAAGCAGCAGTGGAGGTTCTGGTTCCAATTATTCAGGGGGTGATCTACCCCCACCACCACCTCCACCAGGCTATACCTTGGGATTTTCTAAAAGCACATTCACATATGAGGAACTAGCATTGGCAACTGAAGGCTTCTCGGATTCCAATCTTCTTGGTCAAGGTGGATTTGGATACGTACACAAAGGAGTCCTTCCAAATGGGAAGGAAGTAGCGGTCAAGCAGCTGAAAGCTGGAAGTGGGCAAGGGGAACGTGAATTCCAGGCAGAAGTTGAAATTATTAGCCGTGTACATCATAGACATCTTGTTTCACTGGTTGGATATTGCATGACTGGATCCGAGAGACTACTGGTTTATGAGTTTGTTCCCAATAATACTATGGAGTTTCACTTACATGGTACGTTTGTTTTTGAAGCACATAATATTGAATTTGTGATTATAAACAATTAAACACCTTTATAATCAAAATTAAAACAGTGAATCTATTTGTCTTTGGTGTACACACACACATATAATATTGAATTTCGCATGTGGTCCAATATCCTAGTGGATAGTGTGTTATAGGGTGCTGGGTTTCCATCCATGTGTCCCGGGTTCGAAACTCCCCCTCCCCTAAATTATTATAATAGTTTCGAACCCTCTCCCCTCCCCTTAATAATAATAATAATAATAATAATAATAATAAAGGTAGTTGATAGACCGTTGCTTGATTGTTTTTACCGTGGTGATGTTGGTGCATTCTTCTGGTTACAAGGATCTGAAAGAATATTCATACTGCAGGAAAAGGGCGACCTACCATGGATTGGTCAACAAGACTAAAAATTGCTTTAGGATCTGCCAAAGGAATAGCATATCTTCACGAAGACTGTAAGTTATCCATGTTCGTGCACACACACAAGGTCACTTGAAAATAATTACTTTAAATTGGTCCTTGACATCGGAACTCTGGATTTTACATCATAATAATCTGTAAATGTTATGCAGGTCATCCAAAAATCATTCATCGTGATATTAAAGCAGCTAATATACTTTTGGATTTCAAGTTTGAGGCAAAGGTATGGACTGTGCATATATCGTGCTCAGATTTAATCTGTACTATATGATTTATTTTAAGATGATTGGGTGATCATGTCAAGGAATTTTTAGTTCTGTATAAACTGAGATTCACCGTCTTGGCTCAGGTTGCGGATTTTGGACTTGCCAAGTTTTCGTCCGATGTTAATACTCACATTTCCACCCGAGTGATGGGGACTTTTGGGTAAGAGTTGTGAAACCCATTGCTTTCATATTGAAATTCCCAATGAACTTAGTTATCGTAATGATTTTAGTTTAAGATTGACCCAAAGTATGACCAGGCTTTTATCAAGATTGATTGAGAGGTCTCAGGTTGAGACTCTTGTAAACGTTGTTTGGTGTGGTAACCAGATATCGTATTATTCTTACATGCTTGCTACCTTCAGGTATCTAGCTCCGGAATATGCTTCAAGTGGAAAACTCACTGACAAGTCAGATGTTTACTCCTTTGGTGTTATGCTTTTGGAGTTGATTACTGGACGCCGGCCTGTTGATGCATCTCAAACTTACATGGAGGATAGTTTGGTAGACTGGGTGAGTAATAAGTCACATTGTCTGTGAATAACTTGTGAACTGTGGTTGGTTTTTTTAGAGAATGACGACTAATGAGAGAGTTGTGGAATTGCAGGCAAGGCCTGTGCTAAATCGAGCGTTGGAAGAAAGAAACTTTGATGAACTGGTTGACCCTAAGCTTCAAAACAGTTACGACCCCAATGAGATGGCTCGCATGGTTGCTTGTGCTGCAGCTTGTGTACGTCATTCTGCACGGCGTCGACCTCGAATGAGTCAGGTAAATTTTCATAAGTAAGAGCTTAATTTCCGCGAATGAATCTTCTAGATGTCATGGATCTTAGTTGATCTGCATCCATTGGACAAGCAAGGTTTTCAAGACCTACCAGGGTTCTGTAATGTGTCTTCTGACCATATTTACTCGATACACGCAGGTTGTCCGAGCTTTAGAGGGCGACGTGTCTCTTTCTGATCTCAATGAAGGAATCCGGCCTGGGCAGAGCAATGTCTATAGCTCTCACGGGAGCTCAGACTACGACACAAGCCAATACAAAGAGGACATGAAAAAGTTCAGGAAGATGGCATTAGGAAGCCAGGAGTACGGTGCTAGTAGCGAGTATAGCGCACCCACAAGCGATTACGGTTTGTATCCATCCGGCTCAAGCAGCGGGGAAGGCCAAAGCCGCCAAACCACCAGAGAAATGGAGTTGGGAAGGATAAAGAAAAACAACCACGGTTTTAGCAGCGGAACCTCTTAACGGCCAGTGCACAAATTTTTTTTCCTGTAAAGAGTTAACCCCTTCCCATATTCTTAACACTTCTCTTTATCAACATTGATTTCTAGAACACAGCTTGTTATAGCACCAGTTCAATCTGTTTTTTCCCCTCTTCGAAATAATCGAGTTTTCGGTTTTCGGTTTTACAGTGTATATAGCCAGCGCTTATGCAACAGTCAACAAAAGATTCTTAACCAATTCTTTTATTTGTGGTTAATCTTTCTTCTTTCACATATTATTCCCAAACATCTCTTGTAATAGTTTCTTAGCATTACAATTTTTCCAGACACCACTGGTTTCAAGTTGTGTTCCGAATTTTCCTTGATTACCTTCGTATACTCAATGTCGATGCATATTTAACTGTTGAATCTGATCTAACGGTTTTGTCGACGCATAACCACGATGTCTCGGTTATACAAAAATAGGGAGGGAGTCGTGAGGGTAGACAAATTCTAGAGTCGACAGACACCCAGACTTGATGTTTGTCACCACCCCCTCTCACCACACCCGTAGCCCTCGACGTCCAGTGGCCTCACACAAGAAGCCATGCAGCTGCATAGACGTGTTCCAAAGGTCACGTTATACTTTCTGCATTTGAAAGGCAGCTTCACGAGTTTGGGGTTGGTATGAACCAAATGCAAGATATCCCAACAAGAACGGTTATAAAATTCTTGCCTAAAACTCTTGATTAGCATAAATACAGTCGATTAAAGGAAAGCAAAATTTGTTGTATCAAATTCCTTACAAATACAAAATCATTTCCTGTGAACCGGACAAGAAGACTCGTATTACTGATTCCTGTCACAAAGAAATTCTTTTGGTAGTGTGACACTATTACAAGAACGCCACAAAAAGGGCTACCGGAAAAGAAAAATCCTCCGGAACTACAAATTAGAATACCGACCGGAACCAGATCCTTTCCTTCGCCGCCGTCGTTTCTGTCGGATTCTCCAAAAGCTCAAAAATACCAAAAGTCCTATAAATAGTAGCCAAGTAATTTATCAGTAACTGACTATCCGAAAGGAAAAAAACATGTATATGCTTCTTTTCAGGAATTGGAGGACTAAATGATCACTTACCAGTTCCAAGAATGATTGCAGGAACAAGCCAATGAGTAGGAACTAGCACAGGCATGTCAAGCTGCAGGAAGGATTACAGGAAACTTTCAGCATCTTGTAACCGTGTGATAGTATGTTGTGACAGTTAAAAGGAATAGCGGAAAATATCGTTTTCTAACCATTCTGGCTTACCTCGTCCCCATAGAACAGGCCCAAGTATCCCAAAGGATCACTTCTACTTTCCACACTCAATTTGGTACGTTTTGAATTGGAAGTATCGGCTTTAGAATTTAAACCTCTATCCAAGTCAACCACGGAATAACCCGGTAGTCTTCTGTTTGTTCCCCTGACCTGTGAACTGTAACCTTTAGTCCCCCAGATTTCAAACACGGAGTCATTCCCACACATCAATTCCTTTCCCACAACAGAAGAATATGTAGAGAAATTCACATCAGTTCTACGAGACGGTAATTGGTTGTCTTCCATATGTAAAGGTGAACTTTGTTTAACCGAGTTTGAGAAAAGCACGGGGTCTTTGATGTTTCCACCGGTGAAATCTAATATTTTCCTCAAGAGCCAATAACAATTTGTCACCATATGGCTGCTGTCCAAACAGTTAGAGTCTCCATAGACTACAACACGACCTTCACCCACCTCAACAAGACCAAGAATGGGAGAATCTGCCTGCATTGATCAACAGGCATCATAATCACCATCACATATGAATCATGATTGACTTCAATTATTAAAAAAGTAGGGAAAAAATTAATTAAGTAGCCTTTGAGCTCACCGTGGTCATCTCAGGAGTCCGAAGTACATTTTGAGTGGCCCCACTCTCAGAGCTATCCATGAAAGGGAACTTGTGCACATAACCACCTCGTGGAAACCTCACTATATTCGTTCCAGATGCATATCGACTATGCTCACCATTAATAGAAAAATCACCATTCAGAATCTTATCTCCAAATGCAATCCCAAACGGAGCTAAAAGGTCATTCAATGCTGGAACATTTGCGCCACCAGTGACTGGAGTCCACCAGCTCCGTGTGTTATCATCAAAGAATCTCATCTTCACCATTGTGTCCACATTATACCATTCAGAAAACACCACTAATCCCAGTCCAGAATTAAGTACATCATCTTGCAGCTTTTCAATCTCCTCCCGAAAGTACTCTTCTTCAAGATCTACAAGAAGAAGTGTCCCATAACGGAGAGCATCAAAGCAAGTAAATGGCGAACCGAGTGTTTCGACATAATACCCAGCGTCTCGTAACATGTTGAACATAATGTGAAAATTCGTATGCAGGTGATCCCCATGCCAGTCAAGAATGTCATTACGAACATCCAAAGAATCTCTGGGGATATAACCTGGAGGGTATTTAATGCTGTGAAACTGATCCCACAAAACTCGTTTCGATCTTGGCGGAGTTGGGACAATATTTAATTTCAACTGAAGCACACAAGTACTAATCCGAATATCCGTCTCTCCTAGAGCTGGAGGACTGTACACCCTAAGAGTAACATTGCCTCCAATCTCTCCAGAAAATTGTGCACCTTCTTCCTTAATTTGCATGTGAAGAGCTAAATAACCAGTCCAAGGCCAAATAACTTCAGAATAAGTAAAGTGAATGCTTAAAAGATTTCCTACATCATCCGAAGGATGCCATGTGGGTGGACTTTCAACGTAGCCTATTACACCCATTCCATTTAGAATGGTAGCATTAAAGATAACAGGCATGGCACCTGCATAAAGGGGCTGACGACAGAAGGGCCAAGAGTAAGGGCAATCTGTATAATCGAGAGTGCTAGGGAAGATGCTGGCACGAGGTTGGTAGCTCTTGAGGATTTCGTATGATTCTAACCTGACCAAAAAGTAAAAAAGTAGATTAAAAATCCATAAATGTCAATGCTGGATATTAAGGCAAAAAGCAAGGGGACTATAATTCAGGAGAACTTACAGATCAACCCTGCCTGCACCCTGCTCATACATATTCGGACCAGAAAGCTTCGCAGCACCCTCAACCAGTGCTTGTTTCATGCTTGCTGGATTTAATATATCCTTCCTATTGCTCAGGGATAACACTGACAAGAAGACATACCATACCAGCAACCACAGGACTTGCCACACTTGTGCCTGATAAGCTTTTACAGCCTGTACTGATCTTGGATCCCATGATGTCCCGTCCATATGCAACAACATCAGGCTTCAGCCGACCATAACTGTATGAAGAAAACTCAAATAGTTCATGCTTTGCACATTCAATGTTATAACAACGATAGCTTGTACAGCTAAAGGAATAACAAAGGATTGGATATGTCTCAAGATCAGTTAAAAACCTTGGGAAGGAAAAATAAAGCAATCACAATACGCAGTACAGAAGAAAAGATTAGATTACCCATGAGGCATCTCCCATGTACTCATGCCACGTGACGAGAAAGAAGCAATGTGATCACTGTAGTCAATGCCACCAACGCCAATGACATCACTTTGGTCTGCTGGATTGTTTAGAGTTCCGTAAAGCGGACCGTCATTTCCAATTGCTGAAACCATAATTATGTTGTTTGCCGTTATTTCCCAAACCTGATGAGCAAATCAGCAGCAAAATACGTTTCATGATTCAAAAGCAAAAGTATAGTATATGCCCACAATTGTCTGAATGCAATCATTGATGAAGATCAAAAGCCACCACACTTACGCAATATGGAAAACAACAAAGAAGCCTTACCTTCTCAAATGGGAGGTCCAAGTAATCAGGTCCACCTATACTCAGATTTAGCACATCCATATTGGTCGCAATTGCATAGTTGAATGCGTCAAGGAACCATGATGTATATGATACCTGCAATAAGCTGAATACAAGCTTCTCATAATTTTTCTAAATTTGATTAACCAAATGAAACACCATGAAGCCAAGTATTTCAAGTTATAGCTTGGCTTATATATCATAGGCCGAACACAAAGTTTACTAAATCTCGCCTCCAAATCACTTCGTCCAAAACGATATCTTATAAAGTCATATTCACTTCGTCCAAAACGATATCTTATAAAGTCATATTAATGAATCAACAATGCATATATGTGCAACGTAAAACACACTTCGCCCACCTATGGGATAGAACGTGAAATATGAATGTTACTTTGTATTTTTCCCTTGGTATGCTATTCTAGTCTAGTCATAATATCATGCCAATAATTCTTCCATTGCCCAATGTCATTACCTGTGCATCTGTAAACACACGAAAAGCATAAATCTCTGTGTCAGGAGCAAAACCAAGACACTCAGCATCTACACCAGCAATAACACCAGCAACAAATGTCCCATGCCCAAGGTTGTCATTCAAAGTATCTTCATTTGTCCAGTTTGTGCGCTCCTGCATAATTGCTCAAAATTTAAAACCATATAACACCGCAAAATTTTATTGGAATCAAACAAACATGTATTAGGGTAAATAATGCCAATTAACAGACTGAAAAAACACACAAGGGAAAAAGACTCCAACCTCTTTTCCCCTAGGAAATTACCTTGATATTACGAAAATGCGGGTGATCTGCTCGAATTCCAGTGTCAAAGATGGCCATTTTAACTTTGGCACCAGCATATCCTTTTTCCCAAAGGGACTCCGCCCCAAACATTGAAGTAACTTGAGATCTCTGCAAGAATAAAATTCACCTAAGAGGGTGAGTTAAGGATAAAACACTAGGGAACTATCCAAGAATCAAGCAAACGAGGAACACTGCTGGAACTTTCTCAAAACTTAATTCCAAAACCGCCTGCTTTTGAGACACATAAAGAATGATGTCTCCATGTCAATATACAAGTTTCATTGAAAAAATAACAAAGTAATGCAGTCAATATGTCCTGCAATTATCGAGTTAGAAATCGTCATATGTGCTTTTGGTAGTTTAAGAAATTGGCGCTCTGCATTGTAAGCTTCCACTGCAACACTAACTACAAAACAAAAACACACCAAAACTCCATTTCGTTTTCGGAATCTTTAACACCCACGAAAACCCAATTAGGAAACACTTCTAACTTACTCAAACTAATACGATAAACAATCATTAATAAACATCAAAATCCCAATTTCAAGTTTCTTACTTTTTCCTAAACTTTACACAAAATCCCCAAAACCCACCTGAGACATGAGCTGCCTTCTC